AAATTTCTGGTAAGGAAGACACGAAATGTTTGCTATGGGCCAAAGGCCATCTCTAATGGCTTGGCCATTGGTGACCTGTCGTGGCTTCAGACTCCCTGGAATTCAGCATCCTGGGATAAAATGTCTGCAAGAGCATCTCCACTTACAACTAAGTCTGTCTCCTTTCCCAGACAGAATGCATTACTGCGTTGTACAAATGTCAAGCCTAATCTCATCCTGTTTGAATCAATGTAACTTCTCAGGAATTAAAAGATACTGAACATTTAGACGGGCAGAGGAGTTGGCTCATCATATATGCACATCACCATAGAATAGATTTTTCCAATCCCTCTTTTAAAGAGGAAAAGGAGTTGCAAATTAATGTAATCCAGACACCGTGAATTCAATCCTTTCATGATTTCTTAGTGCTTGACTTTACAACCTTAACATTCTTTTACCTTTGGAAATGCCTATAAAAATGCTAAATTAAACTGGAGATGGAAAAGAGGGCACCTTTACTAACACGGCTTATCTGGGAGGTGAGACTGGGAGATTTATCACAGACATCTCTGCAACCTGTGCAAAGGGGTAACTTCAACTAGCAGTAGATTACATCACTTAATAGGATTTTGCTCAGGCAATGCAGAGTTCTGTGCATAACTGGGCACAATCATTTTAATAGCATTTAACTTCATGCTGAAAATGCTGATTTATTGCAATCCTCTGTGAATAGGCATGTGTAAGGACACTGTGAACTGCATTTTCAGATGTTAGAAATTGTTAATAAAATACTTAAATGTTAGATGACATTTAAGTAATTAAATTTGAACCGGAATTTCTTTATACTAAAAATTGCAGCTTAGAAAAGGTCAAAATAAAAATGAAGCATTTTTTATTAACTGAGATAAACATTTTGATTAACATGTATTTTTGTGCAATTTTCATTTGTACTCCACTGCAGCATGTGGGAAAAATAGCATGAAATTCTGAAAAACTCTCTAAGATGGCATTCCTACTTCTTAGCTCCAGGGCTAAGGGAGTCTGACCTCATGAATCACCGGGGTAAAAAGCATCATCCAGAATTCAGAATTAAAATTTGCCATACATAAATCTTGTGACATTTTTATTACAGCATACCAGCCCAGAATCTGTGTTTAAAACACTGACTGCTCAAAGGAATCTAAATCTCCTTAGCTGAAAGTAATAAAATCAGGTCAGGAATTCACTACTCAACAACCTGCCATTAGCATTTCTGCTCAGAGAAAATACAGTTCATCTGTTTTTAAAGAAAGCAAAGCTGGGTCAGATCACATAAATTTGGAAAGTATGATTTGCTTGTGTATGAAAGTGCATTAGGTAACAGATTTTATTTCCTGGTAGAGAAATTCCAGTGTAGCTGCATCAGGATTTTGAGCAGTACAAACAGTATTTCTGCATCGTCTGAGTTGGGACTGCATTTCTTTGTACACAACAGGTCTGCCTTCAGCTAGGCTGCTTGACCACTGCTAACCATGAAATCACAGCAGCAGAGAGTGCAAATAATCTGAACTTTTATTCTCTTTTCAGGCAATTCTTCTCAATCCCAATGCACTGTGTGCTCCCAAAGGCACGCTGCTACTGGTTGCCCAAACTGGCCCAAGCCACGTGTGACACCTCTGCACAACCTGTGGTCATAACTAAACATCAGGATCCAGCTGAGCCCTGCCGGAGTATCAACTACAGAACTGTGTTGTCACACTGGTACCTATGGGTACCTCCAATGGATTTCTCTGGCCAGGACTTCTTAAACACAGGATTTCTTAAAAGTATCTCAACTGGATAAGTCTTAAGGCTTTTGGTTTTACAATTATTGTTAAAATCTTTGAGATAGCACTGAGAAGAATGCACCATAGAATCAGAATTTCTCAAGTTGGAAGGGCCCCATAAGGATCATCAAGTCCAACTCCTATTCCAACACCAACACCAACTCCCTCTTGTTTCCCAGAATGGCTGCTGCTTTTTCTCAACCAAAGCAGAACCTCCCTAGCCTGGCAGACATTGGCTTCACTGCAAAGCTGTCAGGAGAACATCGCAGAAACATTAATATAAGTTAAATAAAGAATTGCAAGGCCCTGTGTATTTTCAATACATGTGGTAGCCCCAGTCCATTTACGCACTGCTTAGTCAATACAGAAAACTGCCTAGGTTGATTATCTAAATATTCCCATCTCCAGAATTTAGAAAATGGAAAAGCCAGTAGTAGAATACCCAAGATCATGATTTTTTTTAATAAACAATAGATTTGAGGGGGATTAGCTGGGTTATCAAACAGTACCCTCCCAAATCAGCTCATTAGTTGCACTGCCTTTCCCTAGTTCACATTATGAAAACTATTTAAAGGAAGGTTCATTAGATGCAGTGTAATCTAATTCAGACACTTTGAGCCTAATCCCTTTTCCTTTAGTAATAACATGATGATAATATGCAAAGAAGTTTAAAGGATTACTGTTACAGCTTTTTAAAAGAGGGACTGTTTTCAGCTGAACACGTTCCATTCCACCACCATTATTTCTTGCTCTTTACTCATCCATTTACACTTTTCTGTCTTTCATTGCACCACACAGTCAGAGTCACACTGGGCAGCAACATCCCTCATGCAGTGTAGACAGGCTGATGACTGCCTGCCTCTGCTCCCTGCTCAGCTTGCAGCCTCCAGTACTGCACCATGTTGCCGCGTTTCCCCTGCAGGGCCACACTCCAGGGAGACACAGCAGGATCCCAGCCACACTCACAAGGAACAAGGCCCTGTTTTGCAGCTGGCCATGTTCTGTGGCAGCTCCTGTGTGAATCAGCCTTGGGAAAGGAAGGAGTTTTGCAATTTACTTTGAGATTCTGCAGTTAAAAAAAATCTTTCTAAATTCACAGTGATTTCATAAGTATCCTTCAGGAAAGAGAGGAGGTCTCTGTGCATTTTCATGCTGCTGGTTTCTGACACTTTAGAAAGAACAAAGGAGGGGATCGGGGCAGGACTTGTGGATGACCAGGTGCACACCTCACATTACTCACTGTGCTAGATTCAGGCTGAGAATGCAGATGAATGGCCATGTTATGGACAAGCTCATTTTAGACTAAACTTGCTCACACTCCTGTGCTTTCACAAAGCCCTTCTCAAACATTTAGAGTAGGGTTCATTATTCTTTATACAGAAAGAAACAAGCCAACCAAAACCACACACACACACACACAACACAACCAAAAAGTGCCAAAGTACAAAGACTGAGAACTTGTTTCTAGATCCTCTGTGTTTACAGACTTCAACATGTTCCCTTCCCCTGAAAATCTGTCCTTACAGACTCAAATCCTCGGCTTTTCAAGCAAGTGCCATTTCATAATCCTATTAAAACCTTTGCCTCTGTTTACCAGGAGCCCTAATCGTACCCAGCAAGTTCTTCTCATCTAAGAAGAGCGACAGCTTTCAGATTTCTTAGGAGACTTATTCATCAGCCACACCAGAGTTTTGCCAGAGCGTTCAATCTATTCTGGGAGCAGCCATGTGGAAAAAGTTTCAAACAGCTGAAAGCCCTGCACAATGATAAAGGAAAGCTCACACAATCCTGGTAATAGCCTGACCCTCTTAAGGAAAATTGGATGATTTGTGGTAGCAGTTTTTCTGTCCCCTGTGTGAATTCTGAACCTTAAAGTATAAGCAGTGCAGCTGCACGGTCCCATTAAAAACTCTATCCCTCTTGTGATGCTGGAATAACAAACACACACCCATGTGTGGAAACAAGTGCTGGCGATGATGACCTTCTCCCCCAGCCCACTGGTGTGAAGGAGTTTGTAGTCATTTCAGAAAAAAAGAGCTGGATAAAGGATGGACTAATTTGATGTTCAGTGTTTCAGCGTGAGCAGAATATATGCTTTAATGAGCACATTACACACGCTAGGGACGTGTTACTGTGAAACACAGAATAAAGAGTAAGGGGAAAATAATTAAACAGCAAGCTTTATAATGAGGAAACTGTGTTCATGCAACATTAAGTAGACTAATTTTCAAGTGCTAAGCAATGGCAGGTTCCTTGGACTTTAAAAGGACTTGCTGGAAAGGAGCACCTTGAAAACAAGGGCAAAGGATCACAGCTATCAAACCTCTTATAGGCTCAGAAGCCTGATGCTGTGCAGAAGCCATCTGTCCATGCTCTGCACTGTTGTAAGAACCAGGCAAAATTCATCCCTCCTTCATGTACCTTTTCAGCATCTGTGAAGTGTCATTTTGTGCAAGAAAATCTCCCAAATCCCTCCTATCCAGAGCTCAGCCAGATCCTAACTAGTGCAGATAGCAGGTGCTCAGTTCTGTGTCCATAGCAGTTCTCGTGCTCCGGACTGAAGGAGGTGGAGGCAGTTGGGAAGATGGATGCACACAAAAGTATACTGATTTCTGTACATTCTTCTGAGATTGCTGTACCTGATGTTTGCCAACATCGCCTTCCTCAAGATGTGTACTCTGTGGCTTCTCCAACATTATTCTCATAGCCTTTGAGGCCAGCAGGATTGGATACCTATACCCTGTAGTGCTTATTCTATAAAGAAGACCATTAACTTTTTAAAATACCACTGCATTCATTATGAGCAGCACATAGAACACTACAACTGATTTCTTTCAGCCTGGCCTCAGTTTTCTGTTGCCACTGCATCTGCTAAGACAACATACGTATATCATCATCTGCACAATGAGCACACACAGACTGTTAGCACAGCTCTTATCACAAACCGAGCTACTGGGAAAGGCGAAGAATCTGTCTCATCGAGTTCAGACACTGACAAAACGCACCAATGAACCATATTTCTGACTGTTATCAGTCGTTGCAATGCCAGTAAGGAGAGGAACATCCATTTACTGGGAATGTCAGTTCTAGATAGCACTGCAGTAACAATTACTTCAGCATAATAGCCTATCAGTCAGGCAGCAATTCTGTTGGGCCACGGGCTCCCATTTTTCTTTGCAAATAAACATTGCACAAAGTGTCTTCTTTCTTACTCACCCTCATGCCTAATTCAATGTTTTCTCCTCCATAGACCTCCATACCAGGGTCAAGCAAGCCAATCTCACCAAAATACTCTCGGTCTACTACAAATGAGCATCCGATCATGGCTGGTGTCCTGCACAGAGAGATTAAAGAAAAAAATGAAGTCGTTTTTTAGCTACTACAGAAACCATTTCACAATAAATTTACACACACAAAACACTGCTTAGTCCCGAAGTCAATAAAGTTTATCTGCTAGCCTGTACTTCCATCCTCCAATGGACAGTGACCTTGTGGAACCAGAGCCATGCAAAAAACAAGCACGCTGCCAGACACACTTGGACCAGCTGTCCATGAGACACATGTGGGATGTGAGGTTAAGTACTCTCTGCAAGTAAGTGAAACATCAGATTATTTCTCCTTTGGTTTATAGACATAACAGGCATTGAAGCTGAAGTTCACCACTATCCTGAGCAGCACAAGAACTAGATAATGATTTATTTGAAGATTAATGACAATAAAACAGAAGCTTTCTCAGACACGAGGACTCCCTTTATTCACATATTAAAATTAAGGCTGTGATGAGAACCACAGATCAATCACACTATGAGGTTTGGTCCTCTTGGCATCAACTCTAACATAAGAATTTCAGGCTTAGGAAAGTCATCTCCCTGCACCCATTTGTTCCAAAAGGTCAAAGGAAACTGAGGCTGAGTGCCACAAACTGGAACGTCCATCTTCTCTTTATGTATATGCTTACACACCAGGATTTTTGTGAGATGGATGAAACTTACAGATACAAATTAATTCCTAAAACATGTATTCTTGTTTACAGTTCCTAGTCATGCCTGAAGACAGACTTGCCTAAACAAAAGCTGAGATCCTCCATTACTGAAAAATGACTTTTAAGCATCCAAGGAATAATCAGGTCTAGAAACTGAAATAAAAGAAGGGCATGACCAAAGAAAGAAAATTCAATAGCTCTGAAACTAAACATGCCTTTGAGGAGTTAGGTATCTCTTTAACTTTAACCACGACAAAAAGGGAAGGGAATGGGGAGAAACAGCACAAGCCACTATCTTCATTTGCCTTTTTATGCACATAAAGCTAAGAACAGATGTCACTGGGTGAATGCTAGAGCACCACTGCTTTGGAAAATGGAATTACTAATTTGGGATTAGATCCATTTCCTTTCTAGCTCCCTAAAAAAATCCTCCAGAGGCAGCTCCCTAAAGCAGTAGGATGCTCCCCTGAGGATGTTCTCCTTCATTCCTAATGAGGAGCAGAACGTGTAGGCTTTGCAGGCTGCTCTCAGGTGCTGCAATCTCTCTCTCTGTGAGATGGATTTTTGCAGTTTCCAGCTCTGTCCATTAAAATACCAACCTGTTAATTGAATGGGGATAGGAAATACATTTTGGATGCAACTACATAATCATCACTCACAGACAAATGCCACTGAGGACTACCTTTGCAATTCCCTCCCTCTCTTCTGTTTTATTTTTTCTCATTCAATATATGCTAATGCAAACAGACTCCACAGGCCCTCATGGCATATTCTGAAAAAAAATGTTTTCAAGAATGAGCAACAATGGCTGTGCAATGGCAGAAGAAATGACATCGTGCTCATCAGAGACACCAGTTAAAAAATTTCCACTGTCAGTGTATCTCCACTTGAATTTGGCTTCCTATAGCCACTGCACATCTACACCTCAGCTCGGCTGCAACCCTGGAAGCTGAACAAGACAGTGATCAGTGAAGGGAAAGCTGGAAATAATAAGCCTGAGGCTTTGCCCCAGCCACATCCTGATGCAATGGAAGAAACTGCCCACGAAGCACAATGCTGAGTTTTCCGAACAGTGCATGCCAAGACTTCCATCAGGTTCAACCAGAGTTTGGGACATTTAGTTCTCATCAAGCCCAGGCCCTTAACTTTCCTGTGCTTTGACTGATCCAACTGTAAACTAAGTGTAATACGATTGCACAGCCCAGTGAGCTGGTAACGGTGCTGGGACTCTGGAGACCTCAACTCTGCTCCCATCTCTGTCATTCATTTGATCTTCAGTGGATCATCTCCCCCTACCTCTGTTTCTCTATCTGCAAAGCACAGATAATACTTGGTAACAGTTTCAGATCTGCCTTAGCAGCCTAAAAGCCTAACATTCATTTATAAACACACTTTAAGTTTTATTTTATACTGGACTGCAATGTAATTGCCATATTGCAAACATCTTTAACAAACCTGCCCCTCCTAAAGCATGAGACCTTTGTTTGGCTTAACCACCGGGTTCCTCTCATAGCTAAAAAGCTCCAATATATCTACTGCTTTCAATACAGTGCATCTGGCACTCTCCTGGAAAGTCAGCAATAGATATATGAGAAAAACTGTGTTAGGACATCCTAAGCACGGCTCACCACCAAAGGACTGACAAACAAGAAGGTGCCTGCCCTTTGCACTTCATGGCTGCAAAGTAAAATAAACGTGCATCGCAGGCGCTTCCCTATAAAAGGACCTTCTTCTTTAAGTTAAGGACTTTGCAGTAAAAGTGACATTTTTAGAAGGAAAGTGTCACAGAACAGCAATTGGAAGTGTATTACTTATTAGCAACACCTGAAAAGGTGTTGAGAGAATTAATTGATTGGTGGAATATTCCTTCACAGAACTGAAGATATTATAAGCTTTCATTTTAATCAACAGCAGAAGTAAAAAGTTAACAAAGGAAACATACTAAAATGGCTTTTGCAGCTAAAATCTTAAAATGCAGCATAGAATAGCATGATTCTGCACTGCTGAAAGATACGGCACGCTGCTACCAGAGCAGGGGCACTGTGTGGCCACGAGCAGTGCTGCTGTGGGATGGCTACCAGAGTCAGGGTGCACTGGCCAGAAATTCAGGTTCCTAAGCAGCACCTCAACCCTGGCCTGGCAGATAGGTTAGGGAGCCTGCATAAGCATTTAGTTTTTCTTACAAATCATGCCTTCTGCAATGGAAGAGTCACACCAGGCCATAGGAACAGAACTCGAGGATAGATCTGCTGTTCAGGAGCTGCAGGAAAAAAGCTGACAAGTTTAATGAAGGGAAGGTATGCTAATTCCTTTGGAGAGAAACAGCAATGGAAAATAAAGCGACCCAGAAAGCTTGGCTAGGAATGGCAGGGCAGTAAGGACACAAAATAAAATTCTGGAGCCCTGCAGGAGTAGAGTTTATGGAACAGGCAGGATGCCATCAGACACCTAAAGGTGGCTGCATCACCATCGGTGTGGTGGACCAGCACAAGGTCTGCCTGCATGTGAGAAGGGCACACAGGCTCCAGCCAAAGCAGGCAGCCTATGGGCATGTCAGGTGCTCATCTGCATCCATGTGTGAGACACACATGCTTTCTGGAGTGGCTGACTCAGTGCACACACACACACTTCTTGCAGTATTAGAGCAGTAAGTGAGAACATATGCAACAATGAAATGCACCACTGCTGCAAAAGGAAGATAAAGCAGAAAGCTGTGCAGTGCTTGGCTGAGGGAGGCTGATTAATGACTCCAGTGTTGGTGGCTGCTGATCATGAAATCAAACAGAGCAGTCCATCAAAATCATGGCAGATGAGGGAAGATGAGCCAGACAGAGCTCTGAAGAGAAGGCACCTTCTTTGCTGTTCCAAAATGCAGCATTATCTTTTATATGCAGAAAAAATCCAGCCTGTTTCAGTGCATAGCCAAATTCGTTAGAAACCCTCTGCAAAAGTATCCTTTGTTACACAGTTTGTTGCCAGATGATAAGGACGTTTTTGGGCAGTGTTCTCAGGAACACAAATGGAAAATGACGTGATGGACACAGCATGTCAAAATAACCATCCTCATTTAAATCTTCACGTTACAGACATCTCACATCTTAAATGTCAAACATGCAAAATGGATTGCCTGCAGAAACTGAATTGGGAAACATCAATTGCTCCAAATTTCAGACTATTAGCACAGGGAAAGAAAAGGAACTGACTTTGAACTGTAGCAGAAATCTTTACAAAATCTGACACTTTATTCTTGCTACTCCTTTACTGCTGCTTGCACTTCAAGGCTACATCCCCTTTATCGTTTGGTCTGCAGCAGCCAGGCTCTGATCCTCGCTGATACCAGGACACAGAGATTCCACTGAAAACCTTTGGTCCCTTGGGAGATCCAGGAGTAAGTATTCAGCTATGCCAAACACAAAACACGATCACTACTAACACAATGTTACTAGTTATTAGCCCTTTCTTTTACAGAGCGCACAGAGCCTCCAAACAAACCCCCTATTTGAAAAGGCAGTGTAAAAGGAAGCTTTGGGAGGGAGGGTGTCAGCAAGGGCTGAATGAATGTGCAATTTTTCTGTTCATGAACAACCTTATGAAAGCATTGAAAAGACATGTGGATCTAAACACAATCACTGTGGAACAGTTTGTGTGCCCTGAAAACTGGACACAGTTGCAGTTCACCATGTGGGATGCTGGTTAGAAAACTAGGCCTGTATCAGACTAAAGGAGATTTTGAAAGCCTGCTCACTTTTCTGACTTCCCCTTGCTTTTAGAAACACACCTTACATTTTTACAGTTACTAAGTTCATATCAAGTGTGTCTTCAAATTTCAGTTCTTAGTGCAGACTTTCTGATCCTTTTCATCAATTCATATGTTTTCTCTTTTCATCACCATAATTACACTGGCATCTCATTTAAAAGCCACAAAATTGCACTGTATGTCTATAGGCCAGCATAACACAACAGCACAGCCAAATGCTTTAGCAAATCCATCCATCAGAAATCAGTGCAGCGTGACTATCAAGCAGAAGCCCCGCTCTCCTAGATCTCTGCCTTCAAAGCACATGTTCCCAGGGAGCCATGTAAGTGTTCACGGTTCAACATTGATGTCTCTGCATTTTAGAGCATGTAATTCATAATTTGCAGAGAGGTGTTTCTGTATCCAGAACATCTCAGTGCTGCTGGAAGTGTCTGCAAGAGCCGGGCGCTCTCCTGCTCAAGCTGCTTGTCTCATCTCCCTCAGTGCAGTTTATGCACTGTTGAACCGCAGGGTTTCTGCTCAGAGTAAAATCACAGCTCTTGAGAGCCAGCTGCTATGTGCATCAGATTTCAACACTACTCAGTGCCTTGAGTTCTTGAACCTTATTCAGTTCCGTACCTGTCCAACTCAGCACCAGTGTAACTCTGGCAAGTACTTGAACACACACCTGAGGAAAGCCCATGGTAAATGGAGGCAACATTGCTGAAAGAAAACTAACTCTTCTCCCAACAACACAGGGGTGAAATCCCTTAATCTCTATTGGAAAAATCCATAGCTGAATTTCCAGAAATACTTTGCAAAATTCCATACTTCAGTGAGTGCATTAACTACCCCTGCTACAAAACTTGTCCAAGGAACTTGCTGAGGTTTAACTAACTTTAATCTCTTAACTCAGTCTTATCTGATATTTGATGATGTTTCTCCAAAATAGAAGAGACTCAAATATGAGAACAACTGATGTGAAAATTAATATAGTGATTCCACATATAAACTGGAAGTAATGAAGTGTGCAAAATCTTTTGGGAATAAAAGACTGAAACCCTGATTTCGGGAGTGAAAGCTTTGGCTGATTAATTTTCCTTCTTCAATATCTATTTCTCAGAGCTGAGTGAAATAGATAGAGAATGCCTGTGCTTTTAAAACAATGATGAGAGGACAGGGCATGTTATCCAAGAACAGTGATTTTCTAAGTAATTACTTTCCTGCTTATTGAGGTTTCAAGCTGAGCAAAGGGTCAGTGCTGAAGGACTGTGCTGTGCTGTGATAAGTAAGGTCAGTGTTGCTGCGTATCTGTTTTGCAGTCACAGGGCATGAGAGTGAAACTAACAGCAACTTGCAACACTTGCTCAAATATGGACTGAAATAGCCCTTGTATGAGGGTGAGACCCTGTGTGATGGTCCTACCCAACCAATCATTTAGAAATGCGAATAGCTCATCTCGTGTCCTCACACTTCTAAAAGACCAGCAAAGGTCTTTCCAGTTGGGTGTGTTGTTTGAGTTTGCTTGGATGAACTTGGAACAGGCATCTGAGAACCTGACAACTCAGGCTCTATGCTGAAGGGAGGTACACCATCTTTTCTGCCAAAGCCTACACTGAGACCCTACGATAGAGTTTTAGCTCACTTTAGGGTGGAGCTGATATACATCAGGATGAAGATGCCTCTAAGAAGACAGTTTGTATCCTTCCTAGGAAAGTTCAAAAACAAGGCAAAGAACCCTAGAGTAAAATCTTTTTTATCATTTATTTCAGCAGTTGCTAAAAAAAGTACCCTTCACTCAACATGGCACTTTTCAGAGGAGCAATGAGACAAGCATCTGCACCAGAGAAGAAAGTTTGAATGTGAATTTTCAAAAGAAGAGGAAAGAAAGACTCATTCTCCTCAGTTCTCATTTTCTCACTGTAACTTTAACAATTCTCAAAATGACTATGACAATTCCTGAATTGTCCAGAATCAGTATTTCCTTAGAAAATTTCATTTCTGTAAGGAAAAATGTTACCTTACAGAGAAAATAAAATGATGCTCTGCTTATATGGTCTGGTTTCATTTCAAAATTCATCCAGTGGGAAAACTCATAACATGCACAAAGTTTTCCAAAAAAAGAGCAACTCTCCAATGAGACCAGGCTAACACATCTCCTACTAGTGTTGCTGGGAAGCTCTGGTTTGGGCTGATGTCCAAGAATGCTGCCTACAGACCCAAAGTGAAAACAGCCTCCTTGCAATCACATAAAAAATACCTTCATTTTTCATACGTACAATGTTTATCTGACTCATTACTCATGACAGGGTCCATTTGGAACATAAAACATAGATGAAAAAGATCTTTCTATCTTAGTAAGGGCCACAAAGTGAACTGGAATCACATTTTCACAACTAGCGCACAGCTTGTACGCACACTGTGGTGCAGCTCTGAAATGTCACACATGCATTCACAGCTTTGCAGACCCATCCATGTTCCTGTTTCATTAAACTACCCCTGGCACAAAGTCTACAGCCTTGCTTAACTTCAGTTGCCCCTTTGCAGACTGCTGAGATGGAGATGTTGTCAGCACAGTGACAGCACGTAGGAGGTTTACCTGATGGGTGCTGACTCGTCCCCTTTATCCAGCCAGTCCTGTGGTGGGATGATGTACATGCACCAGAGGCCCCAGTTGTAGCCATGGGCTGCATTGGCATATTGCTGCACTTCAAAAGTGTTGTACTTGATGTTGTCAATTGCTGGCAAGATGATCCGCTTCCTGTCTTCTTTGATCCGGGTAAGTGCAGGCTCCACCCTGAGAACAGTAAAAACAGCAAAACATTTTGCAACCATCCAGTTATCCTGGGCCCCTCTTTGCAGTCTGATAAAATAACGCTCTCTAATACTGAGAACTTTAACCCAGCGAGATGGCAGACCATAACAGCATGGCAAGATCAAATGCATGTCACCGTCTCAGAGCAAAGGGGCTGAGGTTTGGCATGGCCATACTCACATAGCAGCCTCACACAAATTATTGCCCCTATGGAGTTGTACCACTTTGTGTTTAATAACACAAAATTTACCAAAGATTTATTCTTATGCCTCGGGAATGTCGTTTCAATTTGTAATGGGCAAGTGTTGAGAGTCACCATGACCAGAGTAAGTATTAACAGTCCCTTAATGTCTACAGCACCAGGATGCCTCCTGCTGATGAGGTATGAAGAACAAAATGCAGAACAGAGAATGAATCTGAAGGTTACTCAAAGATTTAAATCTTGTTTTTGAAGGACTGGCTCCATCGGACCTTGTTTGAATGACAAACAAGGCTGCACTGCGTCTTCTAAAACCTCTCTGATGATGAGAAGGTTTCAATAGCCAGATGGTGCAAAAGCAGCAACCTGCAGGAAATGTGCCATCATTTCAAAAGGCTTTAAAACATCAGTGTGCTTTCAACAGAAGCTGTATCCCAAAGTGTTTCAGGAACCACTCGCTTCTGGCCAAGGTAGTCTGAAATTGCTAAGAAGTTTGAGAGAAACTGATCCTAAAAGGTAACAGACTTATATAAGGGTGGAAAGCACTTCTCAAAGCAGCATTAGAAACAGCCACCACTTCATTCTTTTTTAACAGTTTCCCCTTGAAACTAACTTTGAAGATTTTGCAGAGCTCTCACGTGTACCTTCTCCAAGGGAAAGGGGGTTTGCTGCGATTCACAGAGGCAGTAGGAGCTGAGCACTGATCTTTTCCCTTTTTTGTAGCTTAAAAGGCAATCATTCCTTCCTGCTTTCAAGTTGGTTGATTTATGTTCTGTTATCTTCTATTTTATTTGTTACCATGTATTTTCTTGTGTATGCTAAATGAAAGGGACGAGTTATGAAATTAACTCAACCTCCTTTTCCCTTCTGCATTGCCTCAGTCTGAACTATCACAAATTTTCTGATCTCATCAGTAAGAAGATAGCATTTCCTCTGTACTCAGGTATGGCCAAAATATTCCTCTTTTGTGTACACTGACTGCTTATGCGACATCACACTCTTGTTTTACCCCACCCCAGGGGTGCAGAGCATTATTCATTATGCCAATCTGTAAAGTCCTGAGGCCACACACACGCACCCCCATACAGAGCCAATATGACCTGCCAAATCAGGCTAAGCAGCTTTGACTATTAATAAGAGATTATAGTTATGAGATTAACTGCTTTAAAACCCAGTGTGTGCCCACCAGAGAAACTCTTGTAACTCCAATAAAGAAGGAAAGAATACAAAAAAAAGGCGAATCTAGCTTGTTCTTTCCATAATGCTGTTCATGTTCACCAGCCTAGAGGCAGACATCAACCAGACACACTTCTCCTATCACTGTTTGTGTGCCACCATGCATGGCTGTGGAAACCCTCACTCATAATATCAACAGGAGGCTCTCTCTCTTGCTTTTAGCCTCTGGAATAAAGGCTTTCAAAATATCAAACATCATCATCAGTGACAGGCCACTGATAAACTGGCAGAGGTATCCTCTTCTTTGCAGTTGTGGGGAAAAAACATTATCTTGGAGCCGGCTACTGAAGAGCATTTGGGGCAGGAGCCTTGTTACAAAACTGACTGGTTCCCCTGCAAACTGACCAACACTGCAGCAGCCTCTGGGCATTGCCCTGGACCCACTTCTGAAGCTCTTGGACATTGCTTTAGCATATTTAGTGTAGAAGATACACCACAGGGTAGAGGGATTACACCCTCCAGAGAGCAGTCATAGATGGGATGGGAAAATCCAGTTCAGAGTTCTCTGTTACTTGGCAAAACTCAAAATGGAGTGACTTCTCAGCTAACATTGCACACCTGTGAGATTTCTTAGCTTGTCTTGCCCTGTCAGGGATGGCAGAAATAGTCAGGAGTATTCAAAAACCAAGCCTCACAGCATCTCAAAGGGACCTACAGGAACGTTCAAATCCCAGCTTCTGTCAATGCCTTCTGTGCCACCAGCACTGCTTGTGCTGTTTTTCTATCTGCCATGATCTCCAGGCAATGGCCAGTCTGTCTAATGAAGCACTACTACAAGCTTCAACAGGAAAGGGTAATAGACTGTGTTTACATTGCTTATCTTAGGTAATTCATGAAATACAAGCCTCTTTTTAGTTGCTGCTCACTGCCACAGAAGTCCAGCCCTGGAACAGCTCTGCTGCACTCAGCAGACTTGCATGATAGCTTTGCGTCTGTAGGCTGAGCTACACCATCATCAAATCCTTTGTCAACCTTGCTGGTAATTCTGGCTTTGTCTAACTGCTAAAGGTTTTCGAAAGGATTATGATTAAATCTTTCCTAGAATTTTTTTTTTTCCTTACTTTAAGCTGCTACATTATTATGTGGATTTACTCATCCTCTTTACAGGCACCAAAGTTCATTTATTTTCTTTCCTCATGCTTTGTCATCTCCACTGTACATGCAGAGATGTCAGGTGCTCCTGGCAGCTTCAGGAGAAAAAGGACTGAATGGAAGAGGTCACTGAAGTGCAAGTGGGCTCACCATGCTGTGCTGATGAGCTGCAGTATGGGGTTGGAATATTTCCTTTCCACATGGCCACTGCTGGCAGTGAGGCAGGATTCAGCTCTGCCTGATTAGTTAAGTCAGATGTGAATTTTGAGATTCACCACTATTCTTCACAGATGCAAAAAATACCAGGTTCCTAGCTTGTATCAAGGTATAGGAACAGAGTAGCAAATGCAAGTTATAATAATAACAAGATTAACAAGTTATTTACTGGAACGAGAAAAAATTCTTCCAGGCAAATTCACAGACATGATAGATTTCAGTAAATTAAATATAATCACAAGATTAAACTTTCTAGGTAGTACTTCACCTCCTGCAGCTTTGTGGCTTTTTTTTCTTCCTTCCACCACTTCATGAAAAACAGGCAGACAGTTTGGGCTAGAATTTGAGTGACAAAGAAGTTCCTCCCTTCCATCTCTAGTAAAAGAATATATTTGTCAGTTGTGTCCTCCCACTCTGAATATATAGCTAGTGAATGGATAAAGTCAGAAGAGAGAGGACAGTAAATTTAACTCTCTTATAGACTCTGCTAAGCTAATGGCTATTTTCACTTGGGTTTTATTTCCCTGAAGCAGCTCCTGAAATACAGTAAAACACTGCAAATGTCTCATTCCCAGGACTCAGTCCTGTGGCTAACAGTGAATGATTAAAACTCCAGAGAGCATAAGGCCCTAATTTTGGTGGGCTTCCCACAAGCACAGTGACATGCTGGTAGGAGCATCCACGTATTCTGCTAAGTGGCAGAAACTGTCCTGGGGGATTTGTGGCAAGAATCTGATCAGGAGCAAAATCACAACGAAGGGATGTGTTGATTTGACAGTGACTGTTTAGCATTTCTCTAACTATAGCACACACATGTCATGTTTTCACTTACCAGTGAGAAAAGTGGAGGTCAAAGTATGGAATTTTCAAGGTGCTGAGCACCCATGTACTCCCTATATGGAGTACACTCCATGAACTCCTCTATAGGAGTGCCAGCAATGATGGTACTGTGTAAATGCTCCTGACATAAATATTAGAGTTAGAAAAAGAACTGGAAGGCAGAATTTAACTGAGTTTAAAATGAGTCTGTGAGAAGATTGAGAGTAAAGGCTGGGGTCGTACTGTGATCATATTCGCTTCCTAATCCCATTGTAAGTCTTTCTCTGAAAATATATTCATTCTCTCTTTAACTCTGGGCCAAAGCAGAGCAGCTCAAACCCCAGGAGACATCAGGGCAAACAAAAATTGTATGCTATCTTGCATCCTTATCAGATTGTCAGAGTTCATGCCAATGGGGAAGTCTGATTTTTTACAACACTTAAAAGAACAGCTTCTTCCAGATAAAAGAAATGGGTAAAAACAAGTTAGTAATGAGCTCCTCAGCACACACGAGTATGTAATTCACCCCTCAAATATGTAAAGCCACCTACTGACTTCAAGCAGACTTTTTAAAACGAACATAGGAAGAAGTGTATGTGATCTAAGAGAAGAAACCACAAAAATGCCACAAGGCAGATCTGCTGCTGCTACCCAAATCTTCTGCTCATGGGACTTCATGTCTTCCAAAAAGCTTTGCCAACCTGCATTACCATGGGAGCAGACCCAGAGCCTCTTTCAGTTCTATAAACAGAACAATTCTAATAGATATTCCACAATAAATCATTTTCCCTTCTTTTTTTTTCTCCCTCTAAATGGCACTTTTTATGAATTTGTCCAAAACCACCAAAACCAAACTGTTTGAGCTGTGCAGGAATTGTGCTGGGGAGGTTTTCCCCTAAATTCTGCCCCTGTCCTAAGTAGATGTTTGAATATCTTGGTCTCTGGGTTGTTCTGAGATAAACACTTTTCTTTTTTACTCTCCATTATAACCATTCCAATTTTTACTGTAATAAAAGAAAAAAGAACATTAAAAAACATTTTTTTTTTCCCCCTTTCACAACTCAGGATTCTCTTTTCTCCTTGCAAGGAGTCTTCCTTGAGTTCTTGTATGACATTAAAAGAAAGACAAAATGGCCTCATCTGTTAAATTTTGTGGCTCGGTGGGTTTAACACTTTATTCTACTCTGGCTGTACCACTGCCAGTTACCATTTTAACTAAAAACTTAAAAGAGAAATATAAGAAAAAAAGCTGTGTAAGCTGAAAGCTTATTCTGCATGTGATTTTATATGCTACCTCAGATTTTACTGACAATATACATTTATCAGATGCAGACAAGCAGATTTAAAGACATACATAATTCTCCACTGAGGCCATATGAAGAATAATTCATGCACAATTCCTTTCCAGTAAATAAGTGTTCAGAGAACTGAAAAAAAAAAAAAAGAATATATATATCATAATGAATATATATATATACATATATATCATACTCCCCTCCTCCATTTCAAAGAGGAGGGGAAATTACTCACCTGTTCTCCCTGACATCTCTATCAGCACCCCTGTGTGCCCCTGGAGGTGCAGACCTGCAGCCCACAGCAGAGCAGAGCCAGCACTGCTCAGCGCCTGCTGGAGAGCAAAGATCAGCTGTTTGGCTGCCAAACCTGAACAGCTCTTCTCAGCACCACTGAAAAGCAGTGAGGATGCTTTAATGGGCATTCCAGGTTGTTTAGGTAGATGAATAGTTTAAGTTGGTTTTCTTATGTGTTCTCTGTATGCAAACTAGCACTGCCTCAAGAATGTGGAAGGCCCACATGACGTTTGCTGCATGCTGCCCTCTTTACTTAGATAGCATTAGTTCACCTTTGCTATCTGAAATAAATTGGTTACCAAATCGAACCTCACCTTTGGATGAGCAAAAACTCCTTCAATAAAGACACATCCTTCCCTTTGCTTTTGCATAAATAGTACTTCCTTCCCAAGTCAAACTCAGCTTGTTATCACAGATGCTGCAATAAAGCATGGCCTGATTAGCAGTAATTAGGCGTGAATCCTAAGGGAAGGACTGCACAGGAGGACTACAAACAATTTCACCCTTGGCTTCAGTGTTTCTCTCACTAGGAGAAAAAGCTACCCAGACTCTGGCAGGCCCCCAAAGAGTCACATGAGCTCAGTTAGAACAGGCAGGACAGGGTGCTTACCTGCTGGTTGAATTTGGCTTCCAATGCACCACATGAAAGCATAAAGAAGGGAACTTTCATAAGAAGCAAAGTTATTATGTCTTTGTCCTACAGACGTGTAACCATGTCTCCAATATCAAGCAGTTGGGATAACCAAAGCCAAAACAGAAGATTAGGAGGAAAGCAACTTCCTTTTTCATTATATAGTTTCTCAAGAATCCACTGCTTTAGGCCACTGCAGCCAATTGCAGTACATATTACAGCATGAAATAGTATCTGCAAGGTGCTATCCGTAGACCTGGCATCTTGATCTTCAGCTCTTAGTTTCTTAAAATTCCCATTTTCTATCTTTTTAAAACACTGACAATTTCAGGGATAATCTATAGTGATGGGCTGTGTGTAGCACAGACAGATGGATACTGAGCTTATATTTCAGGTCTTCTTTCTCATGTTGGGCTGTCTCTATCTCCCTCTGGTATATTGAAATTTTTTGATGAAATGGTCTTACTCCTCTACTTCCTTTTGTCTGACAAAATTTTAATTACTACAGCACTTCATATCTCCATTCAATCCTTCAATACTACTGTGATACGTGCAAAATCAAGTCCTAAGCTAGAAAGCAAGTATAATACTCTATCATTATGTCTTCTTTTACGGCTCCTAGCATCCTTTTTATGGCTGCTAATATATTGTGGTCTCTGCCTTTCTCTTACTGACTTCTGCCCTCCTTTACTCAATGTGCCCCTTTTCTCATCGATAGAATTAACACCCCATTTCTTCTCTCTCTTCTTTCCTGCTCCCAGATATAATGTAGTGAAGTTCTTTCCTCCTTGTCATATTATTCCTTCCCATCTCTCGAAGACAGGAGTCTGTATGATGTTCTACATCTTCTGCAATATAATTAGCAGCCAGGATGCAATTGTCTGTGCTCAGTGTTACTTGTGTAGTGCTTCGTGCACAGCGGGTGGACCTAACACAAAAGTCAGAGCAGGAGTGCTGAAATCTGCGGTGGAATGAAGGGAAAATCAAACAGTACAAGCTTAAATATCTATTCAGGCACAAATGTGCAACTTTCCTGGGAGATGGTTTTTGTGAAAATTGTGGTGTCTGCCTTTCCAGAAAACTGTTACACATGGCCTCCTCCCATGCTTCCATTCCTCTCTACTCCTGCTGCCACAGCAGCAGTATTACCTCTCACTGCCAAAAGCCTTAAGGGGAACGGGTCAGTAGAAGCTCTTTGCTCTGTGCTAACACATTTTAACACCTGAGAAGCAGAAAAGCAGCAATTAAGCACAGTATGATAAATAATTCAACAGTTAATTTGACCTGCCAGGTTGTGGAGTATTTTTTAAATATCCTACCATATTGTATTTCACTTTAGAAGAAATGTCCCCAGAGAGTTATGCTGTGAGAGCAGCCTTTGAGTGCTATTGCGTGATCCAAGGCAAGAGCTCACCCATAATGGGATGACTATTGCTTAAAGAAAAAATGTAGGTTTTTTTTATTGTCAGAGTTCTGCATATTTCATGAGAAAGTGATGAAGTCCTTTTCTGATTCCCTTTGAATTTATCTGCCAGCTGATTAGGCAGGTAAAGCAGCCACAGAATGGAAGACTAAAATTACACTGCAGGTAACTGACTGTTAGATGGAACACAAACCAAACAGAAAGTTAATGCTCTTTTCTGTGGTAAAGGAATTGGCTGGTTTTTAATTGCCTCACAAATAATCCATAGGCAGTTCTGAGTGGGAGTAATCCATGTGGCCACTGAACACATGAATACACTCAGTAAAAAGGGGAAAATATTCACACAGGATAAGACTTAGCAGGAGAATAGACACCAGTGCTTTAACAAGCTACTCTACTCCCTCCTCACTACCAAGTTGGTAGAGATCTTGAGTGGGGGTACTGGTAACCTGGTGGGAAAAAATAAAGCAACCCACATAGAAAACCTTCCAGTCCCTACTAGTAAAAGGAGATGAGATGAAAACTGAAATGACAGGCAAACACATGATGCATCATGGGCAGAATTAAAACTAGTGGGAGACAGACAAGGATTGAGATGGCTGTCAGCAGCACCAAAGAACAGAGGAAATACCAGAAAGGAACACACTGAGCTTCCATGTGCAACTCAAACAAGTGGTTATATTACATTTCTGGTATACACTTGCTATTCTCATCCATCTTCTGCAGCTATCCAGAAGCCAAGTGGTCTCAAAGCAGCTGCACAGACTGGCTCAATAGTATTATTGAGACTTGTTGAAAGGAGAGTACACCAGGGAGAATGCGGTAAACGCAAACACTTTTTATCTTGAATATACACACACACTCATTTACTGAGTAGTCCATGAACTTGCTATGCTGATTTCAACTCCTTCTGACATTAATGCAAAGTAAGCATTAAAAAAAAATCAACGAACACAGCCAGACGCAGCCACAAAACCTTTTTATGCTTACAGACACCACTGCCTAGTTTCTCTAGGTAGAATACATCAATAAGATATCAATGTCCCTTACAAAATAGGTAACAAAATTCCCTGCAAGTCTCAAAACCTGCAGCTCAGGACTGACTAAGCAGGAGCATGTTCTCCCCAGCACCAGGCTGCAGCCTCCAGTTCTGCCCAGTAGCTGATATTAACTTACATAAGCTTTTGCAAGGTTTTCAGAGATCCACCTGCCTTAAAAGTAGATAAACAAATTAACGCCTTAAGCTTCTAAAAAGTAACTATGACTGCTATTACAGTCTCTGACGGGGCGAAAAATAGGGTGAATAGAAACCAGGTGCACTTTAGTGCATCTTCCATTCATGAACATACAAAAATAAACACTCCACTCCTTTGCAATTAAGTTGCTCTCTGGTTGCAAGCACAGCTAATTTTAGTTTTAATTCAGGGATCTCTCTCTCAGAACTGCAGAGTATAATCAGCTCCACCATAATCCTCCATCATCATTATGAAATACCAGACTCTCTTTGGAAAATACACATTTTACATGCTGAAGGTCCCACCAGCCCTTTTTCAGCTGACTGTGTACTTCATTCCTTCAGATGAAAGTTCAGGTTCTAGTAATGCCAAATATTGGCCACTAAGTGGTGCTGCGAAGACTTCTCCATCTGCCGATCTGGTCCATTAAGATCGAACTGGTACTAACCACAGCTAATACCCTTCCTTTCCAAAACAGAGAGGACGAGAAAAGGCACACTAATTTCAAGTCCCATTAAAAATACAGGAAATATTTCAATATTTCCTTCCAAATGTAAATGTAAGAAAATTTACAAGTCAGATTTATATTCAAGTTTGTAAGAAGGAAAGAAAGAAAAGGTCAAGCAGATTAAATAAAAGTAGTTGAAAACATGCATCTGCCTTGAGCACAGAGCCTCCCTAATGGAATGTCCACATCTGCCTGCTTCAGAAGCTTTGCATTCATTTCGGGTTAAATTACTTCTCTCTCCACTAAGCTGTACTAGAGCAGGAACAAATGCTTTTCCTATGAATCTTGCAACCACAGCAGAAGACTGTTGGCAATATTGCAATAATCACAGATATTATTCAAACATAATTGCTAATGTGAAAACACAAGCCTGTAGTTGTCTCATCCATACAGTCCTTCAGCTCCCCTGTTGAGTGAATCTTTTTCACAGCCTTTGCGACACAGGGCAAACTGTAATAGTATGGTATTCCCTGCTCCCTGTGGAAACAGCCAAGGACTTACCAGCCAATGTTGAATTCCACATGAGCATCAAAGAACCCAACAACAGGAGAGGTTGCAGCTTTCCAGCCTTGGATTCTGGCTCGAATCAGTCCCTCTCGTTTGTTATTGCGCACTATTTTCACCAGACCTGGGTATCTTTTATTGACATACTGATCCAGGTTAAATTTGAGCTCAACTGCAGGGAAAAAAAATAATAATAAGCCACAAACATTCAGAATGAGATCACTGCAGCAGTCTTGCAATGCTGTGCTTTACTTTGATTTGTTCTGCAACAGATTCTTAGTCACTTTCACAGATACAAAGCAAGTACCACAGCAGTGGGACAGAGCAATTCCTGAGATACCAGCTCAGAAAAAAACATTGCACACCAGAGCATATGCTGTTAGCCTTGCAAAGATTGAATATGGCATGAAGGATCTGAGCATTGTTTTGAAGAGCTGGTTTGTCTAAATATCTTAAAATAATTACTGTTCTAATTCTCTGATGATTTGAATTAGGTTGCAAGTGGTCCCTGGAGGAATAATTCTGAACTTGGAACAGAGTAACATGGGAGTTATTGGTGTTTTTTGGGGGTCTGATTTATGCTTTTTCTTATTGAATTAGAAAAATAACCTCAATGGATTTGGGGTCAAGATCTGATTCAGATCAGAATTAATTTCCCTTCACTCTAAGTTTTCCCTTAAATACAATTAATATTATGTGATACCAGGCTTCTTCTCTGTTAAGCTAAAGGGATCTTGAAGATTTAAAATAGACTTTTCTTTTTTTCATTTTCAGGCTTTAACTATAGATGGAGCTGAACTTGTTCACTCCTTCATTTCAATAGGCTTACAAACAGGCAAATTACAAAAATGGTCACTGTATTTTTTAAAAATCAATCTAGTTTGGTAATTCATTTACGCTACAGCTTACTCATAATGAAGCTTTTACTCAAATGTATTTATTAGGAAAACTTAGGAAGCTTCCATGACATCAGGAGCCTCATTCTTCTGATCTATGTTACACAGTAGAATCATTACCATCCAAATAAAAGACCTGATAAATCTCCAGTTATCTAGAAGAATGACAGAGAAAAGCCATATAAGAGTTCACTGAGAAACAATGAATCCAATTCTCTTCTGCATTATGCTGACTGAAACACTTTGTAATCTCACGTAATTACTCCATAGGTTACAGTGCAGTAACTGAAAGAAGAATTGGACAAAAGGTTTCTTAAAACTCTCTATTCTGGGGCTTATTTTTGTTTAAGTGATTTGTTCTTTTGAACATCCTTTCTATCTGGGCATCTTGAAGAAGAACAGCATCTAAAAACTGAAAGTTTAAAGTTCTTGAGCTGCGGCAGAAATGCCCAACTTGAGCCTTAAAAAAAAAATAAAAATAGGATTTAGAAGCTGTAACAGTTCTAGAAGGTTCAATTATAACAATTTAAAACACAACAATATTGCTGATTATCTGCATCCTAAAGGCAATTCCAACCGTCCTATAAAATATATCCATCAGTAGCACCCTACGTGCTCACCAAGATTCTGAGTTTTGATGGTTCTAACTGAAGTGCTATTTTTACAGTAAGGAATTACATGACCCAAAAGTTACATGCACTTTGTACCCATTCTATTATTGTATTTGCAAAGTTTTCTAAAAAAATTTTCCCAGCAAATGAAAAGAAAGAAATCAGATTTCATAACTTGTGTAAACTCGTGTTAATTGTGAAGCAGCAAAGTGTGCTCCCATGTAAAATAAACCATTTTCAAGGAGAATCTGCAACTTCACATTCCTCTGGAAACAGAACTTCAATTTTTGGTCTACTGATACTGATATTGCTCTGGCTCTCCAAATTTGGAGAAAAGTTTTGTCTCTATATAGAGATTCCTTATACAAATGTCATTAATTCTGTGAGGATTCCAACAAAGTCAACAGGGCTTATTCACAGAGTATTTATTTCTTATATAAATAGTTAATATTTACCGACAGCTTTGTGCAAGTGGCTCACTGAATCATCTCCTCATCAAACACAAACTCTTGGAAATCCTGACTTCAGGGGAAGTATGTTAACTTACACCAACGTATGGTCTGCCTTATTAGCCATTAATCAGTGGTTGTGAGCATTCATCAGTGGCTGTTCAGCTCCTTGAGCTGTTTAAATACACACCAACTCAACGATGCTTCATCCAAAGATAAAAATAACAATAATATATAATGTAGAAGTGACCAAACTCTTTCTGATTTGTATTTCACGTTCACAAATGACACGAGATATAGAACTGAGAGGAAAACTTATGTGTATTCACCATTGTCACTGTTGTCATCCACCAGAATGATCTCCTTGAGCAAATGTGAGGGGGTGTGATTCACAACGCTGTGCACGGAGCGCAGGATGACAGACAGCGCCTCGTTAACAAATATAAAGACCACAGAGATCTGGGGCAGGTCATCTGTGTAGGTCATCTGCTTGCACCTGAAGAGAAGAAAAGAACAATTAAAACCCAAGCAGCCAATGAGAAGTAAAATACACTGCAGAATGTCCTCTCATCTTTCATTGCTCTCCAGCAAATAGGGGTTTACAGGCTTTCTTATTTCTGACATCAAATGAAGATGGGGTAAAAACTGAAAAGAAGCAACATGGCTAGGAGCAGCTAACTTCTTATCAACCAGGCAAAAAGTAAAGCCTGCCTGTATGTATACACTTTTTTAATGGATCTCAGTCTCTGGGGTGTGAAAAACATCTCTTGAAAAACAAAAGAGTATCGCAGGTTTTGTTCATAAATATCCTGGAGAAAGCCCACAACCCCATAGCTGCTTGTGCTCCAAGGGCACCCATGAGAAAGCCTGTTGTTAACCTGTAATTAGAATTCATACTTTTAAAACTAGGACCTTCTAAAGTGAACACTGCCCAAACAGAGCACTTGCATCACTTTCTGATTCTGCAGCTTGTGCAGCAGTAACAAATGCACGGTGTTTGTTGAACATGCAAGCACCTACTGAAGTATTTGCAAAATGAATTTGCTCCACCTCAGTATGCAGTTATTCCCACTTATGCATGTTATCATAGATAACAGTCCATGTACCTCTGCAACACCATACTGCCTTGTTTGAGGAGAATTCTCTCCCTCTAGCACAAAGGCCAACTATAAAAAATTACCTACATGTTCTCACAGTCAAAAGCCATTCTGAATTACCATAGTGATTTCTGAACCTGCTCTCTAAAATACTGCTAATTGCATCACAGGAAATGACTTTTCCTGCTCTTATCAAACTTTCTGACCTCTTGCTTATTACTCTGGCATAATGATGACTCTTTTTATCCACTACCTGCAGTCATGGAGGTGGAGAGAGCAGCAGCCACTTGACTGTTGGATCACCTTTGGAAATCTGTCATGAATTCTAGTAAAGTGCAATTATTTATAATTCCTACCCATTCCTGCACTATTTGCACAGAGACCTGATGACTTGTCATTGATTCCATGGCTACCACAGCTGCTAACTGACAGCTCACTTGAAGGTCTGTACCACTGAGAGGACCTCTGTATAGAACTTCAGGCTAAGCTAAACATACACCTGGAGGGACAAAGATTTACAGCAGGTGTGAACACTCTGACACAGCCTCCTTTTGGAATTTCTTCTTGAGCGTGATTTTCCTCTTGACCACACCAATGTACCAAAGAAATCCATTAATAATACTTCAGTAACACGAAAGAGCCATCAGCTAAAAGCAGGGATCTTGCAAGATTTCCCCTGACGAGGGACATCTTTAATCTGACAGGAATTTGCTTCAGAGCCTCACTTTATATCAGCAGGACGCAGCAAATTGCATCCCAGTAAATCAGGCTGGTACCAAGGGCTGGGTGTGCTGCCAGTGGAGCGAGGCAGAGGGCAGTCCTGAATGGGAACCCAGAGCCAAAAGGGAAGAGGCAAAGTGAAGCAATTGTGTTGAGAGCTGCAGAGGGCAAGGAGGCTGTGGCTGAGGAGGAGAAAGTGCAGTGATAATGGGGGCTGCCAGAGCAGCACTTGTAGTGTAGAGAGACAAGCAATTCAAGGCAAAATGAACACAATATCAGGGGCAGAGAGGCATGGGCGGATGGACCAAAGTATTTTGTCTAGGAAAAATTGGAACCACTAGAACAGCACAAGGCCTCCATAATTTACGCTGGGCTTCATTTGACTTCTGATCAAGAAATTTTGCTGAGCCTTTCTGGGGTAAGAGGTATTTCTTTTTCTAGTAAGTACACTGGAAGACTTGGTGTGGAACACCCAACCACACTGGATGCTTTCATAAAGGGCTGTTTGAATTTATCCCTCCAGGGCTAAATAATTTCTGTCATCTCTCACTGCTGTCTTCCTTCCATCTGTTCTCCCCTTTTTTTGTTAGCAGGACATAACCAAAAACTCCATTATGTTTCTATTTGGAAAATGCTCCAACCACTACACATTTGAATATTTCAACTACAACTACAGCAGAAACACCTAGATGGGCCAAGGCAAACCTCAGAACTTAGCGGTGGTTTAAATGCTGCTATCATTTTACTTATTACAAGATGAAGAGCTGCAAAAGAAGCTGTCTGCCTGAGTAAACTTCTCAAACTACAGCAGTGATTTAGGAGTTCATTTCCTAAAGACTTCCAGTCAACCTTGAACTCCCAACTCCTTAGGTCACTTCAGAAAATGAGATGGATGTGCTGAGGTAGTCAGGAGAAGGCCGTGGTCTACTAGCAAACACTTCTTATGATGTCTGAGAGCACCAGCAATCCCAGACCAGGGACCTTTTCTTAAAAATCAGAGGGTGCTTAAGTGCTTTGTTGGATTGTTGCCCAAGCCTTTCCCAATGTATTCTGTAATTAGATAGAAGCTGCAGCAATTTACAGTTAATACTTCCTTCATTTCAAGAAACTCTAACCAGCAATTGACACTCTGAGCCAAACAGTAACATTAGCAAGTCGCAATCAAAGATGCTCCACCATCAAAGTACAGCCATGCCCACTGTATGCTTACAGCCCCTTGACAATCTCACTCCAGCTGGATGCCAACAACAGACGAAGAGCATTGCATGGAGAACCATTTGTCCGTGCAATCATTGCAATCATTTGTCAGTGTCAGGAAGATACTGAAGTCCTCCTTGGTGCAGCCCTTGATTTTGGCCTCAGAGCATGGCAGAGATGTCCCCGGAAAAAAATAATGCCATAACCAGACCACTTACTTATAAGAGCAAAGGACATCCTTTCAAAAAATGGTTGGAGTAGCAGCCTGGAGATGGAGGGAAAGCATCAGAACTGAAGAAATCACCCATTTCTGGCAGCCCTGCTGCCAAACCCGGAAAGGAGCAGGGTGCCCTGCTCTGTTTCTCTCTACTCGGTCTGATCATGTTAGGAACGATGGCTATCGGATGAGGGAGGACAATTACAGTATTGAAAACAAATTAATCAGCACTACTGATTCAACCAGCACTACTGATCTGGGAGAGAACAGACAGCATAAGTTTGACCTACATATCAGTTAACAAAGGTCTAAGCTGGCCAGGCACGGATCATGTTTAATGTTCTCATGATGTTAAATTGCGGTTGTAAGCCGTCTCAGTGCACATCAGCAAAGGATGTGAGCACAAGGAGTACTGTCTCTCCAGGGCAGATGAGCACGCTGTAGAGAAACACACCACTGGATGCATTTAGGGCTGGTGGTTCCAAACAAAGGCTGATGATGCCATGGCTAATCACTTCCACGGAGCAGCTGAGGATGGATTAGATCTGATATGTGAAACAGCCCTTCAGGCATCTTTCATACAACACGCTAAGCATCAAACCTAAGGCATGCTGCTGTTGTCTTGGGAAGAGTCTTTGAGAGTTCTTGCTCTGCACTGGCTACTACAGAGCCTGGCTGGAAACCCAGAGGTATTTCCTTTGCACATGATAGAGAGCTTGATGTCAGATCATTTCTCTCTACCCCGGAGATGGTTTTCACTCATTCTTTCCCTTGCATTGAACCGGTTCCTTAAATGAACATTTCCAAGCCAGCCCCCCAAGCCCAAATGTGAGCACTGTCTGTGCAGGCACAAGAAAAGAGGAAAGGCTCTTCAGCTTGGAAATAGAGCCTTGGACATAAATCATGTACCAACACAAAAAAGGTTGCAGATTAGAAACAGAGACAATGAGAAAACAAAAGCTGTTCAGCTGAACAGCAGCCTACTCATGGTAGCCTGTGAGCTTGCAGGCAGAAAAGAGAAAGATATTTTCTTTTGTCTGAGCCTTCATTGCCCAGTCGCTGTATTTTCCCTATTTGTATCTGATCCAGCAGAAATATGTGCCCTCAGTTTATGCTGCTCTTACAGTCCAATTGAGTTGCACTATTTTTTGTGAGCAGCTGACACTACTGCTGTGCTGGTAGTTCAGTGGATTACCAAGGAAAGGAATTCCTACTCTCTTTTTCTGGCTTTCTCTTGTGTCTGTATACTTGCTAACACCAAAAATGAGTTCTGCTTGCAGATCTTAATGTACTGAGTTTAGAAATGGATTAGGCAATACATTTAGAGATTTCTGACAGCTTTACCCTTCAGGAAGAAATGCAAACAAAATTAAAGCTGCTTCATGAATCTTTAAAGTATTTAATACAAGACATGTTTTTCCAATGAACCACTGGGATGGAAATGATTGTGGGTTTCTCTCCTTCACAAACTTGATTGGGCATGCAGAAATCTCCTCTGCAGTTCTGGCACAAAAAAAGCCTCAAAGTGCTCCATACCCTGAGAGCTGCAGGATGGTTTGCATTCATGTTTTAAAGCCACACAGGGGGAACAGGAGGCCTACAAATACATGACCGATGAAAAGACAAATATAAATATTAAAATATAATGGATCCCTTGTTCATTAGTGCAGGCAAATACTACTTTTGAACATCAGGTCAATGTGTATTTTGAATCCAGTTAAAACAAAGACTCAGATTGCTCTCATGTACAAGGTTACCTTTTAGTGCCTTAATGCTGCTCTGATTTAGTAACCACGGACAATTTACAACACCTAAATCTGTAAATTTAAAGGCTAGTTCAATGCCTCCTTTATTTCTCCAGAAATCTGCTGAGCTTTTGCAAACTGTGCTAGGTGTAATAGTAACTTTCCAGGTGCAGAAATAAAAATCATTACTTTTTGTTCGATGCTGGCAAAACAGCAAACATGTGACATGTTGCAAATATCTCCTTCCCCAGCATGAGTCAACTGCTGAGCTCATGAGACTGACCAGTCCGTGGCAAAAGGCAGTGACAGGCTACAGAACTGGTTAGCTTCATGGGTCATCAGTCTGACAGGCAGAGGGCTGCAACTCCTTCCTAATTAATTCTCCTTCCCCAAAAAAGGTGTTAACTGAGTAAAGCCATAACATTCTTCTTCTGTTGAGGATGGACTTTTCTCCTCTATCCCAAGAAAGAAGAATAAATAGTAATTAGTTGGTGCTTTCTCTTCCTGTTTTGCAGCTTAA